TCCTTACAATTTAATTATCAGAATATTTCTCTGTGTTAGTATAATTAAGGTATCCCATTAAACTATATGTTTTCCAAAAGGAATGGTGTTTTGCAGATTCAAATATGGTTTCAAGCTGAGCTGTTCTGTATGGTTTTTGTGTCAAAAAAGTCTACAGGGTATTGAAACAAATGTTTTCACATCACATTTTTAACTAAAGCCTCATCTTGAAGCACACTTGCTGAATGGCCAGGAGGCAATCACACCATCAGCTTAACTATCTTAATAAGACACAACTGGTTTTTCTCCAAAGCTATCTATCTCTACACAGGGGCAAAGCAATTTCGTTCTCCAGCTTGCAAAAACAGCTGAATGACTACCAGAGATGTCGGAAATAGTCTTCTCAGACCAGGAATTGATACTGAGACCACAAGCCTCATCTAAAATTAACTGAGATGTGTGTAATGGGACCTGGACAGAATTTGAGGAAGGACTGGAAAAAAGTATCTCCTCTTTTCCATAAGCATGCTAATCACCACACAAAGAGATTTGTTCTCTATGCTGTGCATGTGTCTCCGTTTGCATCTGTTGTCTGTGTTCTTTCCCCACTGTAAATCTTGAACTATTTTTGGGGGGGGGGGGAATGTCAGGGAAGGATGATGAAAACATCTTCCTGATAATAGAATGTATTAGGAATCAAACAGTTTCTATCACTTGATATTTTGTACAGTAGAATTCATGAATCACATGGTCAGGAAAAGGAAATGGATCTTTTTAATCTTTCATTTCTGTGATTCAGTAATATGAGACACCATCAAATCCATATATTAGGCTTTATTCAATCACTGTAGTTCCAAGACTAATTGTTCCACATTTGCATGTCCTTGTAAATGTGAAGCCAAGATCATATTTTACATGTTTAATCTTCCTCTAACAATACCATCTTGCCAAGGCAATTTATTCCAATACAGTCTGCTCATAAAATCAGTATTTCCTTTTTCATAAGCATACAAGTACATGATAAAAGGCATTTCAGTCATTTGAATTACTTTAGCTATCACAGAAGATAGCATAACAGTTTTAAATGGTGTGTAGAATGTTTGTAAATCATTACTGAATACAGCTGGAAGATGTTCATTTCTTGCATGGCTCTCCAACTTGGCAGACTGCAAGCTATCCAAAGAAACAAAGATCTGAAGCTGAAATTTAGCTATGATTCTCAGATCATGATGACTTTGTGTTAAAAAAAAATGTGTTTTACCATAGCATTACTTCTCCCATTGCAAATTTTTCATTTTCATCCAACAACCTTTTTAGCCTACCTTCACTTACACTATAATGACAGTATCCAGACTCAGCAATGCACTGAAGTAATCTGGTTGAAATTAACTGTCAAAATTACCTGTAAAATCTCAAGAGCCAGAAACTCCATCCTTCCTGTTATCATTCTTCCCTTGGGAAGATTATCTCCATTCCACAAAAGCCTGCACTTGAAGGAGAATAATGAAAATCTTCCTTCTATCACTATCAGAAATACCGTTGTATAGTGTTGTGCAAGAAATATTTATGATTTTTATAAAGCATAGTTTTAGTTTATGCGTAAGCAGCTACACAAATGTTACTGTTTGCAAAACAGTGTTGGAAAAACGTCAAAGGGATTTAAATGAAAATGAACATCAAAAAACACACTGACGTTTGTAACTGTACAATTTTAAGTCAGAGAGTAAGAAATTTTTATACTCTCGAAGCAATGTATATCACTGAATTACAGATTCGTTAAAATTTTCTTCCCTTTCTCTACTGCCCCCCAATCTTTCAGTAACATGTAGATCATTCTATATGCCAGCTGTATTCTACTCATGTACTTCCTTTTCTCATGCTATCCTATGCTAGCAAAAATGATATCCTAGAAATCTTTTCTGAAGGATTTATCAAATCCCAAAATCTGATATTTTACAGGTTTAAAGTGCTGTTGCTTCTTTACCTGTACATTAGACAGGGAACACCTGAACATTCCTAGAAACCTTTCAATGGAAAAGCATAATTTGACCCATTTTGCATATTGAATTTTGATTGTATACTGAAATCTAGGTGGAAGATTAGATTTATGAATACTGATGGAAAATTTTATACATATACAGCATTTTAAGATACAAAAATACATTTTATGAACACAAAAGAGTAGCAGGGAAAGTGGAAGGCTTTGCATACTTAGAGTCACATAATAGCTGAATGGTGGCATTTTTGAACTGGCACAAGAAAAGGAAAAAACCCACTGACTTTCCACTGTAGTACATTAAAAGATGATACGTTCAGACCACATGCCCTCTGCTATACTTCACATCTTTCTATGAGCATTTAGTGCTCTAAAGGCAAAGGTTATTTTTGAGTTAGGGTAGTTTGGGTTTTTAAAAATACTGTTTAAACTGTGTCTTTGTACTTTATTGTCAGTTAGCTAAACCAGGACAGTTCTTACAAACTCATGAATTCAGGGAGCCACATTCAGGTGACATTCGTTCTGTCCAGTATTTAGATGAACTTATTACAGCTGAACTAACATGAATCAATAGTGAAATAAACTGGAAAGACCTTGATGTGCAATACATTCCAGACTATGTATTGTATCTGGCCTCCCAAGTCGTCTTGAAATTTAAGGCATATAAAGGAATCCTCCTTAAACAGTAATAAATTATTGAGATACACTGAATTCCAAACCTGTTAAATGATTTTTGTATTGCCTAATGTTAAGCACTCTCTATTTATCTGGCTTGCTAAAAGGCTAAGCTCCTTGTGAATCCTATTTTCACAGCAACACTTGGTGCAGAAACCAGAAATTACATGTTCTGAATGATCCTCTGCACAAGGATATGTCATTAATTAAAAAAAATTTTTTTTATAAAAAAGGAAAAGTAAAAGTAGACATCAAGCCTGAAGCTGTAAATAATATGGCCTAAATACCCTCCTTTCTTCTCCACTTGCCCAGTTCTGCCACTGTATTACCTACAATATGTTCAAAATGTATGACCCCCACAGGCAGAGTAATTCTTGCCATCTCTTTAAATGGTGTAAAGGAATAGATGATCTTCATTAATTGTGTATTTGCTTTCATTAAGTGTATTTGCTTAAAAATTCTTTCATACAGCATACGAAAATAATATCGTGCTGATCTAAATAACAGCTATGTCAGAGACCCCAGTAATTCACATTTTTTAATTATAATTTCACTAAGGATGATTTTCCCTAAGGTGAAAATCCCTTTGGAATAAATGCAGTGGAAGCAGGTGCAGAGCTCAAACATTGTGAATAAGCTGACTACATTAAAAAAAAAAAAATTCTGTACCTCAGTCAGTGATAGATAGATGTCTCAGGATGATTCAGTTAGAAAACAGATAAAGTGAGACTATAAACAAGAAATCAAGAAAAAGCGACATTGGTGTAATTAAGAGAGATGGAAATCCTTTTGACCCTATGAATAAACGTAAGTACAATGCTTAACTCCGCCTGCAATATGACATAAGTCTTGTAAAACTATTCAGCAGAAACTGCTAAACGGGCAAACTCATTATTCCTGTTGGCACTGTTAGATTGCTGTGTCACCATGAGTCAGTCAATTATGCAGTCACTTTCACAAAGGGTATTAATCTCAAATAATTATCTCTTTGTCTCATTTCCCAAATTTTGAAGTTCTGTTGTCTTCTCATCTCATATTCCTTTTCTATGGATCCTGCGATTCTAGTACTTGCTCTTAGATATCCTTCATCTCCAATGATTTCAATCTCAAAGTTCTGGGAAACTCTGATATGCATTCAAGTGTGAAAATACGTCCCTTTAATTCACGTAATACAACGAATGCAGGATTGAGTTACAGCTAGTAAAATCAACAATTTTCTTTTAAACATAAGCTTATTATTTATTTACATATCTTCTTTTTTATTTGATTTTCTATCATAATATGGAACCGTATAACATTTTCTACTTCAGAAAGCATTACTTAGTTTTACATACACAACAGAAGTATGTGATGAAGATGGTAAACATACAAAGATGTGTAGGGATCTTTTTTGGCTGTTTTACTGCTTTCTTCTTTGGCATATTAATAATCACTGATGCATCCAGTATAAACTCAAACATGCTTATACATTTGTTACCTCTTTTTGTACAACAGCAACTCATTAATAATTTTAGCATCTTTGCACGTATGTACCAAGTTGAAAATATTGTAATACTATAAAAGATCTTCTGTTTTATTTTATTTTCCATATCAAACATTTAGCATGACCACTCTCTTCAGTTTTCCGGAACAATGAGTGCCTGTATTTCTGAAGAAACGGATTGTGAAATTGTGAGCTTTCATATGTTGCCTAATTTTAGGAAGTTTTCCCTTCATTTTATGTAACTGGAGAGAATATACAACTTGTACAAGAAACTTCCTACGCCACATTATGGGTGTTGTTTAATTGATTTATTTTGTCCTCTCTACTTAATTTTTTATTCCCTTTTATATGTGGCATATTATTTTCTAATGCATTCCTTGCAGTCATACACAAATGTTAAGCTCAGTAAGTGCTTAATACAGTAAGTAGCAAATCTTCCAAACCTGTTTTTTCAGTTGATTTAAAATTTAGCTATATTGGCTGAAAATGTGAAGAACATTTGTTGATTTCACTGTTGACAATGATTCATGGAAATACAGTTTAGTGAATAAATAAATGATCTGGATCACCTGTTCAGGTTGTAAGATGAGACAACTGCATCAAATGCCCCATTGCACAGTATTTCCAAGCTGGAGTTCACCACCACTTAGTGTAGGAGATTATATTAATGATTAAGAAGAAAACTGACTTAAGCGCTTTTTCTGACATAATCCAGTGGTCTGCTGAAATGGCAAATTCATTGCAAAAACAATTTGGTAACATTCTTCTCCTTACACAATGCCACAAGATGAAGAAATTCTCCATCAAAATGTGCAAAGTTTAAGTATTTTTGTAACATCTATTAAAAGGAAAAGCTATTTTACTTACCAAGCCAACTTCTGTTTAAATATACTGACACAAACACTGGAGGGACTGTGAAGAAATCTACTACTGAGTTAACTTCTAGCCAAAACCATAGCTTGTCATTGGCTGCTATGAACTGGAAAAAAAAAAAAAAAAAAAAAGGAGGGGGGGGATGAAAGAATCAGATTATGCTTATGGTAGTTGCAAACACAGGCAATATTTTCTATTCTAAAATATCAAATACCAAAGTTAGTGGAGCAGTAACTGATGTTTTAGCTCAGTCCAGACAAAATGACATGTCTTACTGGAAAGAAGTCCGTACTGTGCATTGATTGATAACCACATAGTTTACAAGCAGTCCCGTTATCATCCTATCAAGAGGTAATCACCAGGATAACTCCTATATGGCATAATTCAGGACTGCAGCAGGACTTTAGTTGTTTGAATTTTGCCATGGATAAGGTCATTTCTCTCTCCTGACTACGAAATCAGCCTAGGAAAACTGGGAAACTTAGATACCAAGGATTACCATAGTTTGAACTTATCTATTCATGTATGTGCTTAAACGAGGTCAAACTACTATTCACATGCAAGTAATAAGTAAAACGTATGCTTTCTATAATTATCAAATATAATATACAAATAAATATAAAAATCTAGTGCATCATGAAGACATTTAATGGAGCTGTTTTACTCATGTAAGTCTTAAACACTGGACTATTCCAAAACTAAAACATATTTCAAACCAGTGCTTTTATTTTTTGAACTACAGACAATATCCACTGTCTTTCTTCCAAAGCAAATATTGATATTCTCTATTTCATCCACTTAATCTCCTACCCTTAAAATTACTTTAAACCTTTAACAGAAAATATTTATATCAATTTTGCTGGAATCCCAGCTAAAGATGTCAAAAGTGTTGAAATCATACTTAAAAAGAAGACAGACAACATGAGCAGCATCTTCCTCAGAGAAGACTCAAAGCTAAAACTAAATTGACATTTTGTTAGTCTGTATTACTCAGTACCAACTCATTAGCATGAAAACTGAAGAAAAACACCCAGAAGCTTTCGTTTCGCTTCTACTGAATTTAGTACTCAGAATATTTGGAACTAAGAGCTTTTTAAGATGTCAGATCAATGCTTTCATAACCTGCAATGTTTGTGCTAATCAGCATTTTATCTTTCTATAGGGCACAACCTTTAGGCTTTCAAAAAGGTTGAAGTGTGTTATTCAATAACTAAAATAAAATCTGCTGACTGTAAAGGCCACTCATACTTTTCTGTGGAAGTATTTGAACAGTTAGGCATCTAGGTAATTAGCAACTAATAAAAGCCCATTTCATTACAAAATAAATCCTACCATGCCTGAAGAAGCACTTCTAGAAGCACTAGCATAATTCTGTCACTTCCAAATAAAGATTACTTCCATATTTGCCATATCTCTGCCAGACTCTATTGCTTGATTATGTGCTAAATCCTGTAATTTGGACTTAGTTTTCATCAGCAGTTTGCAGATTTGACTTCTGAGTTCTCATATAGTTGGATACTAGCCAATAAAGATTTTAAAATGGATATATGTGCGTTTGAACACAAACATCTTCTAGAACTGAAGATAAGGCAATATTTATATGATTTTGAGTTGCAACATCATTTCAGAGAGAACATGTGGAGAAGGATGAGATTTCGAAATATTTATCAGAAAAAAGAAAAAAAAAAAAAAGTAAAATATAAAATAGCTAAAAGTGGGGATGCTTATCATATAACTAGGAAATTCATTATTGATCCAGTTATGCCATCCACACAACCAAATACCAACTTTTCCTTATGAAACCCTGTTT